CACCACCAGGCAGTTCGTCACCAAGTAGTTCTCCCCCAGGGAGTTYGCCACCAAGTAGCTCATCACCAAGGCACGTCACCACCGGGTCAAACAACGAGGTACTTAGCCAAAAAATTTATACATCACAAAAAATGGTACGTGACCAAAAGCGGTTACATCAGCTCCCAAGTGGCCTGTGACTTGGAGGTTGAAGTGGAGTTCCTTAGTGGCGAATTGCCTTGTGGTGAGCTACCTTGATGAGCTACCTGTGAGGTGTCGGGCARGTGTCGAATTAACCAGGTGCTGGGCAGGTGCCGAACTAACCAGGTGACGAGCTTCCTTGCTCTTTAGAGTCCTGCAAGGAACCAAATGTCAGAGGACCCGGGGTGGTTAATCCGGCGAGGTCACTCCGATGCTTAAGTCAATACTTTCATAGTAGACTGTGAGCTAAAAATCATAAAGTATGAGAGCTAGAATATGCTTACTTGCTTACTTGCCCTCTTGCCATTGGGGCTGGTGCCTTTAAATAGGCATTGTTTGGCGTGGGCTTCACGAACCACATCCGAGATTTCTGCGAGGTCGTCTAAGTGGTTCGAGATTCCTGGAGGTAATCGCCATGCACGTTGACCACCCTCCAGATCGTTCGACACGTGGGCCAACTTCCAAGGATTGTGGGAGAGTTAGGATGTGCATGCCGAATTTGTCGGTGAGCACGTCTCGCAGGTCGCCAGGTTGGCGCCTATGCCAAGGCACCAGGTCGCGCCTGGGCCAGGCTGCCAGATCGACGCTTGGGCCAGGTCGTGCCTGTGCCAGGCTGCCAGCTCGTGCCTATGCCAGGCTGCCAACTCGTGCCTATGCCAGGTCGCGCCAAGGCCAAGCCGCCAGGTGGGACACCATCAACTTGGCTAAGACAAGTTGTTGCCAAAGTGGTTTCGGGTGTCACCTAATTGTTCTGAGGTGCCATGTGTCACAATATCATTGGAGGGCCAAATCCGCCCTCATCATTTGCCCTCCACTCCCGAGCCGAAAGTAACTCGGTGAAGGGAGTAGATTTCTCCTTTTGGCCCGGAATGAATAATTCGATGAGCTCGTAAGCATCGATTCAATTCCTTAGGCTCTAGGAGCGACTTGCAGTCCACTCCTTGATTTTGCCCATGCCGAAGAGGCGACTAGGTCTTATGTGATATTTTATCCCTTAGGCTCTGGGAGCAACTCGTAGTCCACTCTCCTTGACTTTGCCCATGCCGAAGAGGCGACTGGGTCTTGTGATGAGGAAGCCCCTTATCAGTTCGTCAGTTCGCGCTTGGCCAGACCGCTAGGTCGGCGCCCGCGCCGGGTCGCACCAGGTCGGCGCATGTGCCAGGCTACCAGGCCGCCAGGTGGGCGCCTTAGAGCTATGATTGTGTTGCATCAGCCTCGTAATGCCGGTCACCCACTCCTACAAGAAGCTACTAGGAGCTCAACTTTTGGGGGCAGCACTACTAAATTTGAGTCGCCAGCTCACACGGGAGCCTTGGAAGGCTCAACCAGCAATGGTGCCTATGTAGTCTATTGACCGCCAACTCCCATGGAAGCCACGAAGAGCTCATCTTTGTAGAGGGGACCTCACAAAGAGGACTGATGAGGTTTTATCTGAATTGAAAGTAAAGTTGGTAGAGCTGCTTAGTCTGTTAGCTCCTTGCATAGTCTTTGGGTTCATAAAAAAAGGGAAGTATAAAGCGAGAGCTTTTGTTTCTAAGAAATGAGGACTTAGCTTTCTGGAAGAAGAGGACTTAGCTTTTTAGATGAGAACTTAGCTTTTTGTAGTGATTCCCACAGACGGCGCCAAATGATGTAACCGTTCTTGGTCACGTATCAATTTTTTTGTGATGTATCAATTTTTTGGCTAAGTACCTCGTTAATGACGTTTGCTCCCAAGTGGCCTGTGACTCAGAGGCTGAAGTGGAGCTGTCTGGTGGTGAGCTACCTAGTGGCGAACTGCTTGGTGGTGAGCTGCCTGGTGGTAAACTGCCTTGTGGTGAGCTACCTTGTGGCGAACTGCCTTGTGGTGAGCTACCTTGATGAGCTACTTGGTGGTGAGCTACCTGGTGGCGAACTGCCTTGTGGTGAGCTACCTGTGAGGTGCCGGACAGGTGCCGAACTGACCAGGTGCTGAGTTAGGGAGGTTAGGTGACGAGTTTCCTTGCTCTTTAGAGTCCTACAAGGAACCAAATATCAAAGGACCCGGGGTGGCTAATCTGGCGAGGTCGCTCCGATGCTTAAGTTAGTACTCTCATAGTAGACTACGAGCTAAAAATCATAAAGTATGAGAGCTAGAATATGCTTACTTGCTTATTTTCCCTCTTGCCATTGGGGTTGGTGCCTTTATATAGGCATTGTTTGGCGTGGGATTCACGCACCACATCCGAGATTTTTGCAAGGTTGTTTAAGTGGTTCGAGATTCCTGGAGGTAATCGCCATCCACGTTGACCACCCTTTGGATCGTTTGGCACGTAGGCCAACTTCCAAGGATCATGGGAGAGTTAGGATATGCATGCCGAATTTGTCGGTGAGCACGCCTCGCAGGTCGCCAGGTCGACGCCTAAGCCGCCAGGTCGCGCCTGGGCTAGGCCGCCAGTTCGTGCCTGTGCCAGCTCATGCCTGTGCTAGGTTGCACCTGTGCCAGCTCGTGCATGTGCCAAGTCGCACCTGTGCCAGGCTGCCAGCTCACGCCTGTACCAGGCTGCCAGCTCGTGCCTATGCCAGGCTGCCAGGTCGCGTCTGTGCCAGGTCGCGTCTGTGCCAGGCCGCCAAGTGGGACACCATCAACTTGGCTAAGGCAAGTTGTTGTCAAAGTAGTTTCAGGTGTCACCTAGTTGTTCTGAGGTGCCCTGTGTCACAATATCATTGGAGGGTCAAATCCGCCCTCATCAGTTACAATGTCATTTATTTAGGTTGCGTTTGATGGAAATGCATGTGATTTAGGTTGTGTTTGGTGGAAATGCATGCGAGTACAAGTGAAAAGAATACAAATTCTGGTTGAATTTTGTTTTGGGGTTTTACTTTATTCTGCTTCAAATCTTATTTTTTCATTTGAACTGCAATCAAACAAAAGGAAAATTTTGAAACAAAAATTAATCAAAATTTACACCCACATCATTCGCATTACCATATTTTTGCATCAGTGCAAATATATTTGCACTGCAAACCAAACGGCAGCATTTGTATCTCATTAAAGTTATTTTCAATATTGAATTTAATTTTAGCCTAAATCCCACGGATAAGATAAGATTCGATTTAAATTTGAA